AAAAAATGGAATTACAAGATGCAGGAATTTTCCAAGGCCTTTCAGAATCCCCCTCATATATACACACCTATGAAGTAAGGTCAAACTCTCCACATGGAAATCCTCTTTCTGAGGTTGTGCAGGTACACTGAGTCCTATTCCTAACATCTTTCAATGCTCTTTACTGAATACTGACTCAAGTACAGGTGACACAGTGCAATCTCTCCAGGATTTTGCACAGGAAGGATCTTAGTTTAAGTTTTATACACAAAGAACTTGAACTAGAAGCACGCTGTACCATCTTCTACAACCTCTATGAAGATGGTGCTTCATCTCTTTTGTTTGCCTGTTAGGTGCGAGAGAACTAAACAAGGACCACTGCAGTGCCATTCTCACCACTGTCCTAACCCCTGAGCCTGCTGTTGCACTCCCTGCGGCAATCCACCGCCTTTCTGGTCTTCCCTTCTCACTGACCCTCTCTAGCAGGCAGGCCGTCTTTCCTTCTGACTTGCAGGACCCAGGTGTGAGAGAGGAAAATCACATTCTCTTCACTTCCAAGGAGTACTGGAGTATTCTGGCTGCAATTCTTCCAAGGCAGACCTGTCTGTCTGCCAGGCAGTACATGATACTTCAATATTCTTTGGCATCTCCATAATTCAAACGCAGCATTTTTTCCCGTGGTCTTCTTTAGCCCGTTTCCACAGGCATATGAAACAACTGCAAATGCCCCGGCTATCGGGTCAGGTGCATCCTAGTCCTCAAAGTGACGTCCTTCACTCTTTTAGCACTTTAACGACATCTTGTAAAGCAGATTTGCCCATTGCGATACTTCCTTCAATCTCCCGACTGCTGTTTCCTTGAGTACAGAGTGTGGATCTGAGTAAAATAAAACTGCTGACAACTTCCACGTTCTCCCCATTTATCATGATGTTGCCCACTGGTCCAGCTGCAGGGGTTTTTATTTTCTTTACAATGAGTTGTGATTCATACTGAAAATTGTAGTCTTTGGTCTTCATCATTAACTGCTTCAAGTCCTCCTCACTGTCGGCAAGCAAGGTTGGTTGAGTCTTGAAGGTTGTTAATGAGCCTTCCTCCAGTGTTAATACAGCGATACCTCGGTTGTCAAATGTCTCAAAGCTCAAACTTTCCACTTCTCAAACAGCAAAATTTCAAAGAAATCTGCTAGGTGTTCCCAACTTTGCTTGATAGTCAGACTGAAAATCTGACTTGAAAAGCCCTGTTGAAGCTGAGAGTGAGTCGCATCTCACCTCCCACACAGCAGGGTGGCACTTCAGTCCCACCACTCTCCCCAGTGGGTAAGTGCATTAAAACACTGGTCATTCTGCTTTTTATTTGCATAAAATATGGAAAGCATGGCTCCAAACAAAGTTAGCAATACGAGCAGCAAAGCTAAGAGGAAAACTGAGAACCACGACAGAGTTAAAAGAAAGAAATCACTGCGAAATTTGAATCAGGTGACCACTTGCCTGATTGGTTGGGGAAAAAATGATTAAAGCGGCTATTGTAGTGAAAGGTGTGAAAATGTTAACCACAAAACAAAGAACCCATGCCGTTGTAGAGGCTGGAAACAAACAACAAAAAGCCTCCCTGCCATCAAGTCAATGCCGACTCACAGTGACACCTGTGGGTTTTGAGACTCGCTATTTATGGGAGAGAAAGCCCCGTCTTTCCGCTGAGGAGCTGCTGCCAGTTTCAAACTGCTGGCTATGAGGATCGAGCTCAACACATGACCACTGCACCACGGGGACTCCTAGAGGTTGAAAGACGCTGTTAATGTGGATAAACCAGAAAACTCTGTGGTGATAGCATACCCGAGACAGTGCTAGGCGAGATGTCTAAAAGGCTCCGTGGCGGATTTGTAAGTGTAATTTTTATGTCTCAGTACTAATTATTTGGTTTTCCATTATTTCTTATGGGAAAAAGATGGTCAGTTCTCAAACTTCCAGTGTTCAAACACAATCTGGAATGAACTGAGTTTGACAGCCAAGCTATCACTGTGCTAGTCTTCCTAACAGAGCCGGCTTCTAAGAGGATGTGCTCAGCATGCAGACTGACAAAGGATGGTCAGCGGAGTGGTGTGCCCCTGGGGACACTTATTAGCAGACCTGAAAGAACTTTGTAACATGTCCTGATAAACTCCTCTGGCATTACAACTCGGTAACTTTCCTAATGAGCCCTTTAATCGTGAATTTTGTCTAAGTTCTACGTAGTCGCTGCAGTGGATTTCTGAACCTAGAAATCAAGTAGGGATCGTCTAATTAAGATAACACACCCTGACGCATATACCTTTCGTGATTTCAGACTAGGCAGTACCCGTGTTCTGTTCCAACAGCTGCCTCTTCCTCGATGTAGGCCCTATACGAGCACAAATAAATGTCCCCGAATCCCATTCTTCTGTTTTATCCACACAGTCGAATCCCTCTGGATGGTCAGTAAAGCAAAAGGAAGCATCTTTCTGTATCCTCTTCTTTTCGTCAAGATCCATCTGCTTTCAGCAGTGACGTTCCTTTTTCCACCTCTCCTTCTCAATCTGGCTTGAATTTCTGGCAACTCCCTGTCGATTTACTGCTGCAAATGGTTATTTAATAATCTTCAGAGCAACTTTACTTGTATGTGCTACTGTTCAATAGTTTGTGTATTCTGATGGATCACCTTTCTTTAGGACGGGTACAAGCACGTCTTGGCATAGACTAGTGAATGCATCCGCTTGTTGACACCTGTCAGCTGGTCTGCTTTCCGCTCCTGGGGCCTGGTTTCTGGCTAGTGCCTTCAGGGCTGCTTGGGCTTCTTTCCTCAGTACCATCAGTTCCTGAACATACGCTGCCGCCTGGAATGGTTGACCGTACGCCAATTCTTTTAAGTACTGTGAGTCTCTGTATTCCTTCCATCTTCTGATGCTTTCTGCATTGTGACTATTTTCCCCACAGAATCGTTCAATGTGGCAACTTAGGCTTCAGTTTTTTCTTCACGACTGTCAGAGTGAGAGGTGCTGAGCGCTTTCGTCCGTTGGTTTCCTAGCGCAGCACCTCTGTGCATTTCACGAAATGCTTCACTGTTTGCCGACACCACCTTTTGGAGCCCTCTGATCAGCTCTTTTACTTCATCCTTTCTTCCACTTGTTTCAGCGCACTCTTCAAGAGAAGATTTCTGAATCTATTCTGACATTTACTTTGGTCTCTTCTTTGTCTTTTTCATGACCTTTGCTGCTTTCTTCACGCACGGTGTTCTTAATGCTATCCCACACACAACCCACCTGCCCTCAGAGAAGCTAGCAGAGGGCCCGATCTGAGATGGTGTTTGCCATCAGTACCCAACTGGTCTTCCAGGAGAGCCCATCCCTGAAAAAAAAATGTTTCTCTTACATGAAAGACATCACACTACACATATTCGCATAATACAGGAGATAATGATGAAGCTTAAAGGTTACTTAATAGTGGAAATGTCAATATTCACATTTTCCTTCTGAGTAGCCCTTGTACTACAAGAAGAAATACTACTCCTTATATGGACAAATGAAATTAGCTTAAATACAGATTTCTCAAACATGATGACTTGGGGAGCAAGCAAGAGCACTAGAAACAATATGGGGAAATCTTTCATTTCTGGTCGTTAGGTGCTTTGTTAACTAGTAAAACTTTGGTTTGAAACAGGCTTTCAGGTGTGTGCATTCCCCCCTGATGTGCAAAGTCTGTGCGAGACCACGGATTCTGAGTCTTCCAATGCATAGGCCACATCTGAGAAAAATATTAAAATACTTCTAAAGGCTAATTAAGCTTTCTCAACTTACAAAGTAACATTGTATTAGTGGATTTAGAAATATCAATGGACCCAGAGAAGAATTTATTCTCTTTTTAAACAAATTAGTTTCCTGCTTAGGGATAGCTCACACTAGAAGTCACCCCTGGATGACAAACAAAAATCCTCAAAAAACTTCCCGAAAAATCAAATTTGTATGTTAAGTCAAAACAGCGAGGTGGGTCGGTACCTAAAATTAGTTAATCAAATGCTTTTCTTAGGCTATGGTGTACCTATCTATGTATAGAAACACTGAAGAACAATTCCTGATACACTGAAACATCTTCACATAACAATACAGTAGTAATAATAATCATCATCATAATGTTTTCAAGTAGCCACAAAGTATGTCTGTTTATTATTATCAACGATTGATATCTACCTCCAATTTTTAATGTAGTAGGCTTCACAGGGTGGCTTGTAACTATGAGTTGTACACTCATGCTCTGGGGACTGCTGTACTGACTTTCATTTGTAAAGGGAAATTACCTAAGGATATGGGATTGTGAGGCGTGTGCAACAGTCGCTCACTGAAGGCTTCTGACAGCTTCTTCAGTTTGCTGGACAAGTAGGAAAACATTTCCTGCAACAACAAAACATCACGTTTAAACCACGTCCCGCAAATACTTGCTGCAACTGAAACAGTTAGTCAAACTCTGACTGGTAGAAGTTGGTGCTGTGAATGGGCACACCCACATGCTCTGGAAGCAAGTCTCTCCTTTGGCCTCAAGCTAGGAAGATGGAAAGCTAACAGAGTTAGCTGTTACCACAGAGTTATCACAGGATTCAGGTAAAGGGAACAAAGAAGCAACACACTCCCACTACCATGCACCTACCACCCTGTCCTCTTCGCAGAAGTTCCAGTGACACCCCTCTAGTCCAGGTGGCTTCCCGCGGGATAGTAGCAGTAACATCTGTGTTATTTCTCTGCCTACTCTCGTGCCCCCTACACTCTGTTCGACAGAGAGGCCACATTGCTGTTTCGAGAACATAAAAATTATGTCCATATCCTCCCCTCACTTAAAACCCCACTGACTTTTCCCATAAGTATAAAAACAAAGTACTCCAAATGCTCACCTGTAAGACCCCCCATGGTTTCCCTCAGCCCCATCTATTCAACTCAACAACCGCCATCTCCCTACTCACTATGTGCCTGCCACACCAGCCTGCTAACCAACAATGCCTCTTTCCTGGCACAGTAGACCACCCCACTCAAATCTGTCAATACCAGTCCATCTCAGCCAGGCTACTAATCTTTATGTGTTCCATCTCCTTTTTTTGACAACATCCAAAATTCCTAGATTTCTGCTTCGTCTATCCCATTGCCCGATGTTCAATGGATTGTGCAGCTGTTACTTCTCATTTTGAGTCCTGACACATCAGTAAATGAGGGTCCTGGGAGCTTTGCTTCACCCACATCATTACAGTCAACTCTACTTTGAAGAGGCAATTTTCTCGAGTCATGTTTTGAGTGCCTGTTGACCTCAGGGACCCATCTTCCTGCACGACAGCAGACAACGTTCCACTGTCACTCCAAAGAGCTTGCTGGGGCAGTATTTTCAGAAGTGATAGCCAGGTCTTCCTTCCTAGTTTGTCCGTCTGGGAGCTCCACTGAAAGAAAGCCATCCGGGGGACCCTGCTACTGTTTGAAACCGCTTCCAGCGCTGCCACAGCACGCAAGCCGCCACAGTTCAACAAGAGTGGTCGAAGCGGCTCCACTGCAGGCACTGGGGAAAACAAGGGTCCAGACATTGATGGAATACAATTGAGGTGTTTCAACAAACAGATGCAACACTGAAAGTGCCCACTATCCACGCCAAAAAATGCACTGCAAAGACAGTTAACTGGTCAACTAGTTGTAAGGTGACTCAACAGAAAGGTGACTCAACAGACTATAGGAATTTTCCATTAATATCATCACATGCAAGTAAAACTTTGCTGAATAATTCAAAATGAGTTACAGCAGTGCATGAACAGGGGCCCGTCAAAGATTCAGGCCATATTCAGAAGAACATGTGGACATCTTGGCTGAAAACAGAAGCAAAAGATGTTTATCTGTGCTTTATTGAATATGCAAATTGAGTTAGTTAATTGTGCCAGCCTGGCCGACAATCACATGTGGGTCTGGTTGAAAGGCGGAGGGATAAATGGGTGGTGAAGCCTCGCCTTTCTAGTTCTCGGGTCTCTTGTTTTGTGATGGTTGCATCGGGTGCAGCTGCCTTAGCAGTTCCCTGCTTCAGCTTGCAAGATGGATTTCCTACAAGACATCCCCAAGGAGAAGCCGCATGGATCTATCCCGATGCAGCCCTGGGTGCTGGAGCAGCCATGTGGAGACCCCTGCCAGTGCTGAGATGCTTACACGTTCACAGACTCAGCTTTCCTCCTGCAGTCGGCATTATTGCCTCTGTTTTGTGAGGTGAAGGACTTTGTGGACTGGTGTTGGGTGTGGGTTAATGTTGGACTTGTGGGCTTGGGCAGCATTGGGTTGGGATGTTTTCGTGATGCACATTTTCTTTGCATAAAACTCTCTCTTATACGTGAGTTGCTGTGGATTTGTTTCTCCAAAGTACCTAGACTAATACACAAAGGGATTAGACTTTGTAGATTGTGTCAAAAAATGGGTAGTAACACTGAGAGAATGGTAGTATCAGGACACATAACTGTACTTATTGGGAAGCTATACGTAGACCACGTGGCATCTATCAACAAATGCTAACATTTTAGATAATATAACATAAATTATAAGCCCTTTCTTTTGTCACTATGAGAAGTATTTAAGGGGCAAACGTCAACATCAGCGGCAGGAAAGAAAACACAACTTGTTGTAGGCATCTTTCCCAAGACATATACACGTTTCCTGCCTGCCTTCCTATCCTCACTCCAGAAGCTTATGGGAAAAATAATCAAGCAGAACAAGACATCAGAAGCTTTCGCAGCAACTAGAACAATTCATAATCTCTTAATACCATGGCAGCATTAATAAAGACCAGAGTTTCTATGGTTCACTTTTACATTTTCATCTCCTTATGAAATAACTAGGTCAGTGATTTAAACACTTTGTGCCATTTTAAAAAGCAGACATATGCTTTCATTTAAATATTAATTACTGATATTTCTTCATAGATATTATTCCCCAAAGTCAGCCTTCAACTCCCTAATCCTCTTAGTCTCAAATTCATCAACCTCTCATAAACAAAACAAATCTGAGAGGAAGAAAATGCCTGTTTGGGTGAGGCCCCATGTTTTCCATCTCAAATAATGACAACAACGGACCCTGCATTCAACGTTCACCATATCTTAGTGAAGCCAAGCTTTCTCCATGCGACAGACTCCAGGGCCAGGGACAAGCATACAGTACTACCCAATCCACTTTGGCTGCCATGATAACTCACCAGTGTGGTCACGCTCGCAGAATGAGAGAGATATGGTGAGTAGTTAATTTGTACTTGACAAGCTAGTTCTAAAGGTTTCCTTAGAAACAACCCTGTTCCTTTTATTGTTAGGTGCCGCCAAGTCAGTTACAACTCAGCGATCCTAAGTTCAGCTACATGAAACACTGACCAGTCCTGCTCCCTCCTCATGACCTTTGGCCATGTTTAAACCTGTTGTTACAACCAATGTGTCACCTAGTTGAAGGTCTTCCCCTTTTCTGTTGACTCTCAACTTTACCAAGTACGATGTCCTTCTCCAGAAGCTGGGCCCTCATTAGAACATGTCCAAAGCACAGGACACAATCCAACTGGCCTCCCTTCTAAACAGCACCCTTGGAATACACCTCTTCTTCATTCTCCTAGGAGCCGCAGCGTATGCACAGTCTGTTCAATGTTCTTCACCAACACCTAAGTGACAGGCAGCAGTTCTTCTCCCGTCTTCCTTACTCTCGGTCCAGCTTTTACGTGCATATGCCGTGACTGAAAACACCACGGCCTGAGTAAAGCTTGAGTGACTCAGCAGGCCTTTTGCAGATTTGCCAAATGCCAACGCATTTTTTTTTAATTTCTTAACTGCTGTTTCCATAGGTAAGTATTATGGACCCAAGTAAAATAAAACCCTTAACAACCTGTATCTTTTCTCTGTTTATCTTGATGTTGCTTATTGGTCCAATTGTAAGGATTTAGGTTTTCATTGTATTGAAACTTAATCCATCCCGAAAGTTGTAGTCTCTGATCTTCCTCAGTAAGTGTCTCAAGTCCTGTGATGTTCAGCAAGCTTGTATCATGTGCATAGCACAAGTGGACAGCCTTCTTCAAATCCTGAGGTTGCATTCTTCTTCATGCCGTTTAGCTTGATGAAAGAATACAATCCGGTGCAGTTTTCCTGATTTTCAACCATGCAATTTCCAAAAGGGAATTCCGGAACACTTCATTATGTTCATGCAGAACTTGTACATGGATCAAGAGGCAGCTGTGCAAAAAGAACAAGGGAATACCGCATGGGTTATGCGTTAGTCTGGGTAGACTAGAGAAACAAAGCCAAAGGCACTCATATATATGTGAGTGAGCTTTATATCAAAGAGTAATTGTATATTAAGAAAACACCCCAGCCAGGTGCAGATAAAGTCCATAAGTTCAATATTAGCCCATATGACCAGTCTATAAATTCCTCTTCAGATTGATGCAACACATGCAATGATGCCAAATTCAGGAGGATCACAGGTCAGTGGGTGGAAAGTCTTGTGGATCCAGTGGTGGTGTGGATCCAGTGGTGGTGGGAGCATCTCAGCATTGGTGTGGGTCTCCACGTGGCCCCTCCAGCTCCAGGGCTCTGGCTCTATCAGCCTAGCTCCGTGCAGCTTGCCAACAGGAATGTCTCGCAGGGAGAGTGTGTGTCCTGGCCCAGGGAGGAAGACAGGACCCAGAATCCTCAGGAGTACGCCATGCCCACACAAAGGTATCACTGGCTATGACCTTATTGATAGGCTAGACTCCATCCCTTCGCTCAAATTGACAGATTACCTAACTTCCACAGTTTAAAATCAGGAAAGATGCGTTGTATCCTCTCACCTATGAAGATTATGGCATCAGTATCGGAGGAAGACATTAATAACCTGAGATACACAGATGACACAACCTTTTTTTTTTTTTTGACACAACCTTTTTTGCTGAAAATGGAGGACCTGAAGCATTTTTCTAAGAAGATCAAGGATGTAGCCTTCAGTATAGATTACAACTCAATGTAACGAAGACCAAAACTTGCAATTAGAGCAATCCGTAACTTCATGAATAAATGGAGATAAGATGGAAGTTGTCAAGGATTTTGTCTTGCTTGGATCTACAATCACTAATCATGGAAGCAGCAGCCAAGAAATCAAAAGACAAGCTGCACAGGGTAAATATGGGTGTTGCTTTGAGGGCTAAGGTTCGCCTGGCCCAAGTCATGGTATTTTCTATGACCTTTTATGCATCTGAAAGTACGACACTGATTAAGGAAGACTGAAAACTAATAGATGCACTTGAATGGTGGTGCTGGAGAAGAATACTGGAAGTACCACGGACTGCTAAAAAGGCAAACCAATCTGTATTGGAAGAAATAAGGCCAGAGCGACGCTTATAGGCAAGGATGGCAAGACTTGGCTTACGTACT